GCCTGGTAAATTCTAAGTTATTGCATTCGTAAAAAAGACGTGTTTCAGAAAATTGTGAAATTCTTCTTAGTTTTCTCGTCAGCCATTTTTTTTTCCGTCATGCTACCGTTCTTCTGCTATTTGAGTGTGAAACAAACGCATAATTAGCTTACAGAGGCTAATTAAGTGGCTGAATGGAATATTGTTTTTAATACCTTTGCGCGATAATTTCTTTATTCACTTAAGGTTTTTAATTGCGAAGTAATGACCTAAAACTTGAGAACTCGTCAGGCTTATAAATGTTATTAGCTGCTTTCAATTATGCCACCAGATATATATAATTTTATTTATTCGAGCTAGCGAAGTTAATGATCCATTTAAATTAAATGTTATTGATCTGGAGAAGAACATGACTCGGTTTATTTATTTATTTAGTTAATAAGATGTTTACATCGCATCAACGCACATATAGATTGTATGATACGCTCGGAACATCGAGTAGACGCCCAGGTTTTTTTGACCCATGTATGTCACGTTCAAATGCCTCAACCAGGATGTCACAATACGCAAATTAGTGTCATTGTAACTAAATGTCAAACAGTACTTTAACTCTCACCCTGTTTGACTGTAGTAATTGCTCTAGTGACCCGAAAAGTGCTGGAAAATTATTCCAGATTCGAATGAAAGATCCTTTTTTCGTTTGGTGGAGGGAAAAGTTTTTTTTTCTTTCAATATGTGTGTTGCGGGTTTTGATAATTCAAGTGCTGCAAACGTGGAAGAATTTGCGCCAAGAATCTTATTTTTAGAAAGGCCCTGTTTGAAAAAGAGGGTGTTGAAACGATTTCTTGCTTTGATGCGATATTTCTACCAGGTTTCATTTTTTTTCTTATGAGACGAAGTTTTAACTCTTCCTTATCGGACACGTAATTTTAGATAATAAATGTTCGTTAGTGACTTTTTATATTGAAACACAAATGCTCAAAGTTAGGATTTAATGAAATGTTTGTTTCATCGTTGAATACAGTAATATAAAATTTTAAGTTCTTCACGTTATTTATTATTTAAAAAAAAAAGGTCTTATATCTAATTAAGAAAATTCTGAGCAAATTTTATCTTCAGTTTATTACTTCTTAAATTATTCAATGCTAGATTAAAAAACGTTTTAGTAGTTAAGCTCTAGAAAGTTTTTTTTCCCCATTAAATAAACGTATTGTAAAAATGTCAATTTACCAACTTATCTTTTTTAAGGCGTTTTTCAAAGGCTCTGTAATCGCGTTAAATGATGCTTTTATGTGAATAATATTTTTAAGGCAAAAATTACTCATAACTGTAGGTCAAGTTTAGCCTATCTTTAACCAGCGCCATCTATGTTTTATTCTGAAAATGACGCTAAACGTCCATATGGAGAAAAGCCACAGTTTTGAGAATGTGCTCTAATTTTTTGTTATTTAAAAGCTTACTCCAAGTGCTGAATTATCTGAGCTTATAAAAATTTGCTAAAAAAGAGAATAAGTCATTGAGTTTGATAATTCTGATTCTTTTTTATTTTGTTAGGCGAAAAAGCTTCGAAAAACCGTGTTAAATGTAGCTTACTCAGCAAGTCTAGTGTTCCGGGGTCTTATAACGCTTAATATTATTACTAACTTATGCATTTCGAAGCGAAATTTACATTAAAGATCTAATTTACGTATTATATTTTGTAACTTTTGGAACTAAAACGAGACCAAGTCGATGTTAAAATAGTGTAAAAAGTTTTAATGCAACTAGATGAAAAGACAAGTCTTATCTTGAATTTTATAAACATGAAACTAACGTTTCAAAATAAGTACATCCGTCAAAACAATACCGTTATGGCTGAAGCCTGTATACTTTGTATCTAAGGATGTATCTGAATTTATTCAATTTATGTCAAATAACCTAATAAACTACCGATGTGGCATGAATTTTCGGTCTTCCATTTAATTTCGCTGAACAGTTACAATGCTTCAGAACTTGCTACAACCTCTTTGGTATCTTTTTAAAACTCGACGGTTAGCGAGTGGGCTAATCTCTCTATAGAAATGCGGATTATAAAAGAAAAGCGATAAATTCGAACGCAAAAGCCTCTCTTCACCATGAGGGGGGAGGATAATAAAAATCCATAGCCTAGATACTCTCCATCCTTTTACTGCCCCCCTTTTCCATCGTGTATTGAAATTCAAATCCTCTTCTCAAATTCAATTTACAGCCTCCTCCCGTATCCATAAATTGGATGACTAGCGAAAATGCTATTCCTTGAGCTAAAGGCGGCCCCTATCGATTTTTGATCTTCCTGAAAAGAGAACGCTAGGAAGTAGCTGTTCCTCTTCCAACTGGAGTTCTGTATCGATCGAAGGAATGGGGTGGGGCGGAGAAGAATGGTTCTCTTTTAGAGAACGTGTATACTGCTACACGAGCAAGTTCTCCGATTATTTAGATGGTTGCGGTTACGGCCGGAAACAACTCGTAGATCATCTACTGAAAAGCAGAAGGGGGGGGGTTAGGAGTGAGCTTTTATTCCCCCTCCCCTCTTCCGACTGTACAAACTGAAGTGTTTAGAAGGGAATGTGAATAAGTAATGCACCTTTTCCAGAATATTTCTGATAATTAATTCAGTGGTAGTTTCGTCAATTTCGAGTAGGAACATGGAAGCGACGTGCTTTTCGTGAATAGGAGAAGTGGAATATTTTTATTTATTTGACGAGGGAAATAAAATTTTGTAATAGCTAATATGTATTAATTCCCTTATGACGCGGAAGCCTGAAATTCTGAATGCTACAAATAGATTCTTAGCTTTGATTAGTGTTATGTTTTGATCCACCTAGTTAGCAATACGGAACAAAGTTTCTTAAATGAGACCCTTTTTTTGAAAAATTAAGATTAGATCGTGGCAATTATTATGACGTTCATTCTTATTTAGTGACCGTTGAAATTTAATAGAGGTTGCCCAGATTTGCAAAAAAAAGCACTCTGGTGTTTTCTTATGAAATAAAAATGTTAGCTAATCTTGTTGCAATCTTTTGAAATGGTTATCTATTGTCAAATTTATAACAAAGAAAATGTCAAACAAAATATTCACTCGCATTTGACACTTCAATGTCGAACTTAAAATCTCAACTTAGAATATATTTTAATACCATGCAGTCTCACTGCAAGCTTTGCTTCGGTTGAGTATTTAATTTCCCTCGACAACTATATTTCCGTGTAATAGAGAAATCGACGTAAGCGACAGAAAACTCAAAATTGTGGCTATTATTTTTAACATTTTTTTTGTGATTAACTACATATTACAAAGAAAAATTTCAAAAACATATTTTAATTTATCAGCTTTTTGAAATTCTACTCTAGCCTTTATAGCATTAGCAAACAAGCGAAAGCAGCTGTCAAACCACTTTTCTTGAATTTTACCATGAATCACTTAACGTTGTTTTATCATTTGCACGGCAGGATATTGGGAAATTTATTCCATATTTCCCATATTTTCTCTTAACTTTTTTAATTTATTTTTTCTTCAACCCGTTGCTTATAAAAATAGCATTGTTTGCGTAATAAAAATAATTTTTATATTAACTGCTTTATTTATGATTTAAAAAAAATTTTATTATTCTTTTTCCTGGAACTATAATTTTTATAGCTGTGCATATGAACAGCCCTTTTTATATCTTAGAGAGAGATCTGTTCGCATTATTTAATGATAAAATTAATACGGGTCATTAAATGTGAAATTAATACGGGACATTAAATGTGAAATGACAGTGAGCCTTCTTCTCAAATATCATATGTAATTGTGCCATTCAGTTGTGTAAATGTTCCTAGAGACTGTTTGATTTCGCTTCCAATTTATAATCCAAATGCATTAAAGGAAAGACAATCAGATTTATCTTAAATCTCCTAATTTCATTTTACATCAATAACCATGATATTAAATTAAAACTTTAACTAAACTTGCGGAGCTGGGTAATTTTAAGTGCATTATTTACTACCTTCCTAAGATGAGATAGTTTATTGTTAAAACGGGTCTTTAAGATAGCGTGTAAACGCACCATTCACAAAACTTTTCTCTTGAAAAATTGTGTCAACGTCTTTAGATCAAAGTTTAAATTGCGATTTTTACATAATCAGGAACCTTATTATCAAATTCACTAATTTATAAGCAGGTTTTTCATTACCTACATTTCATGAAAAGGAACCACCTTTAACAAAAGGTCTAGAATATCCCCATTGTAAATAGCATCATCATTTTTTTTGTTATCAGTAACTTACCATTAAAACTTTTTTGTTACATAGGTAACAAAAAAGTTGTTTGTCAATTTTTTGTTAGTTGACAGTTATTGTAATTTAATATTCGTGAATATTTTACTATTACTGTTAAAGTACTTAGTTCAAAATGTGCCATACTCCTAAATTTGCACCTTGAAATTTTAATTCAAAGAGCGCCCGACTAGCTTATTAGATTTCTACAAATAATTATAAACATTCGCCCATTTCAATTTTTAAAATCTACATTAATTTACATGTATCATATATTTATACAGAACATTACAAAATAGCGAAATACTGGAATCGAAGTAAATGAACTATTGATTTAAATAGAGGCACTTTATATTATAAGCAAACTAACAGTTTTGACTTTCGAGTCCTTATTGTTCAGTGCGAGTGAATAAATAGAATCAAGATATTTCAAAACTGTTTTTCTTCGTTTTGCGATTTGCTAATGATCATCCTCTTAAGTGATTCGACAACTTTGTTATGTCGCATACGGCTGGACACATTAGTTACAAGATAAAAATGCTAGATCAAGTTGCGCCAACCCACGTAAGTTACAAGAGTAGAATGTTTAACTCGGTTTGACCCATGAGTGGAGAATAATAAATGAAAACTTTGTGTTTCAAAATTTCATTCCACAGTTTATTTGCTAAACATCATTTTTTTTTTACTGATAGTGACGAATTTAATTTTGTTTACTTTCATGTAATATCAGGATTTTTTTTAATCTTTTGCAGATAAAGAAGAAGCTTGTCTGCCAATTCTTTAGCCGAGTTGGAGTTGTTAAAGACTAGTCCGAGTATTTGGGAATGTGCACTCCTTGTTTGTGGTGGTGTGACAACGGAGTCCAATGAAAGACAACTCGCTGGATGGCCACCGTGGAAAGGTGGCACTATCCGAAACCACGAGGCTCAGCTCTGCTGCAAACAACAACCCGGTGGGCAGTAGCATCAAGTGCGAGTTGAAGACCACCTCTTCGGCCAACGACGGGAGTGCAGTCACCAATTTTGACGATGACAACGAGTGGGAGTTGGGCATCGGAGACCTAATCATCGATTTAGACGCGGACATTGAGAAGACTAACGAACGAAACGGCACGGGTATCGCCCCGCATCATCATCACCACCATCACAACGGCACAGTCCAAAGTCCCGGGAACAACACTACAAGCATCATTGAGACACCGAACTCTACATCTGGCTCTGCGACCACTTTCAATTTTCTGGGATCACAGCTGCAACCTCCTAGCAATTTGGCATCCGGCATGTCAAATTCCAAATCTCCGCGCAGTGTAGGTAGTGGAGCTGGCGGTTCTACTGGCACTGGCGTAACTGCGTCTGGAAACAACGGCGGCACTGGCACACAAGGATCTGGAACCTTTGAGCACCAGGCCACCGTGGACAAGGGTTTAAAAATGAAAATTAAACGTAAGACTGTCGGTAGCAAATACTCTGAGGCGAAGCACGAAATAGTGCAATCTGACATTAAATCTGCACCAGCTTCGTCTCATCAACTTTCTGATAGTGCGAATTCTACAAATAGTGGCAATACATCGACAAATGCTTCTGCGTCCAATTCACCCGCTAACAGTACAGAAACTCCTAAATCAAAACATTCTTCTAGCAAAGGCCGGACTGGTAGTCACAGGGAAAAGAAAGAAAAGAATCGGGACAAAAATAATGCTAACGTCCGTAGCAGTGCGTCGACTTCTGTACCTGCTGCTGCAGAAGTGAACGGAGTGCTCGGTGTTATGTCACCTCTAAAAATTACCAACAGTGGTGTAAGTTTGTCAAGTCCTGCCCCACCGTCCCTGTGTTCTAGTTCGTCTCCTCTGCCATCCACGTCGGTGGCTTCACCTAGTGTACCTCGTGCTTCTGGTACAAGTGTTGCGAACTCCCCCGCTAGCAACTGTGCACCTGAAGGGGTGTCTCAACCTCCCCTGAACTTGCCAGCTAGCGCGGCTAGTTCTCCGCCAATGCCGAATTTGACTTTAAAGTTGGAGAATAAGTTCACACCTAGTCCTATTTCCCAGTCATGTCCTTTGTCCGTCAAGCAAGAAGACTCACCGTCTTCCCCTCCTATGAAGAAAATTAAAATAGAACCTCCGGAAAGGAATGGAGAGGTAAGTTTCCTTCCTTAATACTTACAAGTTAAAACCTCGTTAACGTGAGCTGATTTTCGATTATTCCCCGTCAAATTGTATACACAAAGTACTTTTAATATGATCAGAAAATTTATTTCCCCTCTGACGGGTAAAATCATTAAGTTTTATTTCTATAAGAGAAGGCTTTTTTTTAATGGTACTTTATTTTAGTGTTGATAATTGCAACATTACAGCAGTGAATTAACTGAAAGGCCGACCGGCCTGTGTAGGGGGCAGGGAACTGTGCTTGCATCAGAAAGGTTCTGGGTTCGAATCCCGGGCAAGGCATGGATCTGTCCTCACTGTGGGAGCGACGTTGCCCCCACCTAATATGGTGCCCCTGAAAGAGAGGCCAACAAAATCGCCCTGTATATACCTGAATTGACGGATGTTAACACAGGTGGGCATTGGAAGGAAGAAAAAAATGAAAGAGTTGCATGACTTGAATCTGTTGAGGACGAGGGGCATTATAGAAAACAACATAAGCCCTTTTGTACTCTACATGCATATGTATAGTTTTAATCTGCATACGAAGCAATTAAAACGGTTCATTATTTTGTAATTCTAATTCAAAATTCGAATCATTTTTTGGGTACAGTTGATAAGTTGAACTTTTGAAATGCATGGGCGATTAGGAAACCAAAAAAGGCAACTATTACCGATTCATAGCTGCCAACTCTACTGGATTTTGTCAGTTTCTCCTGGTTTTTGTATATTTTAGGAAATTCCCTAAAATTGAGTAAGTTTCCTGAAAAAAATCCCTAATGAAATTGAATTTTTGTGCAGATTATTGCTTTCTTGAATACTTCAATAAGTGTCACTAATACATAAGGAAGCGGGCCTCATTTATAAAATTCAATTAAGTATCTTTGATGAATTAAATGTCTATTGCTATTCAAAATTATGAATTAACATAATACATAACATTTCAAGATCATTTAATGTGAAATCAAAACTGGAAAATATTGCAATTATCCTTTGTTTTTGATGACTATAAAATTCTCTGTGTCAAATATTAAGTGTATTTTTCAACAATTATCATGAAATTCATAAAATCTACTGGATTTTTTGTATCCGTGTTGGCTGGCGACAATGCCGATTATTTTGTTTAGTAATCCTCTCTAATTTGTGCAATAAATCAATTTATTCCTATTAGTTAGTTACCTTTCAGTAATTTTTTTATTTGCTTCTACAAATTTAAAAAAAAAATTGCCAAATAAGTACATTTTGAATTTCGTCTGATTTATTGGAATTTTTCTTCCTTTATAACTTTAATTTTTTTAAGTAATCGGCTGTATTTACTATTAAACGAATAGAAGTTATTAATTTTATATTAATTTACCCGTTCATAATAGAAATTTAAGATTAGAGAACTCAAATAGGTAACAGATGTAGAAAATGTTTGTTGTACGATTTTCATCTAAAAGAAAAAGAAAAAAAATCTGAACTGGTAACGTGAACCCCTGTTCCCTTTCAATTTCAGGTTAACGAGGTTTGACTGTATGAACTTCTATTTTGTCATACACAGCTTTTTTTCGGCAGTTTTTCTTATGAAGTAAGCTAAATTTCTGTAAATGTTTGAATCCGAGTACTCAAAAACCATTATCCAAAGCATACTTCTTTTTGATCACTTGTTTGTTAATTCGGTATGTTGCACATTAAATTCATTAATAAAATACTGACGTCTTAAGACCTGATGCATAGCTGCAAGCTATCGAATAAATCTGTTAGCTGTGTACATAAATTGCTACTCTTGTCCATTTAAATGATTTAAAGCTTTTTTTTTAAATTTAAATCTGTCAGGTTATGCATCAGTTAAATAAAATCAAATATTCTTTTCATTAGTGGATTTTGGGCTGTATTTGATAATTGATCACTAAGATAAAGTTGTTCACACTCTTTTAAGGATTCTTAACTAATATGCAGTTTTTTCATCGGAGTTCAAACTTTTTTTTTTGATGAACGGTCCTGTTTTCGTGAAATTGGGTGAGATCAACTCTTAATTTGGTGGGGGGGGGGGAAGACTATCTTCTTATTTGCGATTTTGATGAAATATGATCACGTTTTTGTAAGTTTGTGAAAGTTCTTTTGTGAAAAATTTACTTATAATTTTCTGAACTTATAATAACTGTACAATGGGGTTCATTTTGTTAGGGTCCTGTTTTATGTGGGAGGACACAAAACCACGTATAGGTTTTTAATTAAAATTATAAAAATATGTGTTTGTTTTTATTTTTCAACAACAACAAAAAATTCCGAAGAGTCAGTCCGTTTTAACGATATGTATATAAAAAAAAATTCTGAAAGTTTCATAATTGAAGTTTAAATGTTGCGCATTGAAGTTAAGTTAAAGTAATATCTTAAGTTTTTGATTTCGTGAAATCTATTTATAAATTTCTTGAAGCTGAAAGCTCTAATGAAATAAAGCAAAGAAAATGTGAATATTAAGTGTAAGTTATTTCAATTTTTAATATGATGATTGTCGAATTGGAGATGTCGATTGGAAATTAATATATTTGCTCATACGTCATTAAATTGTGTGTATATAATTTAATTGACGGTTTTAAATATATTATAACTCATGCATTAAGATTTTGTGATTATCCCAGTTTTTTATTTTTATTTAACCAATATATGACGTCTGTCGTGAAAAAAAAAAATTTTAAAAAAATGAAAATTTTAAATCCTAAGTATTTATTATTAAATAAAATAATAAATACTTAGTAAAAATTATTTTTTGCGTAAAATTATCTTTAGATAAACGAGTTTTATATTTGTGTGCAAAAAGTTTTCAATTCGCTTGAAAAGTTCTCGAGATATGACAAAATACGCATAAGTACGCAGACCAAAGTATGGGGGCCCTATTTCCTAAATTGCTGCTACCTCCTATATTTTGGAGGTCAGAAGTTTGAATCCATCAGAAAAAAAAGGTATGTTTATTCAGAGAAAGTACATTTCTCTGTCTGATTTCATAACTTCAAATATCGTTTGCGCTAATTAACATATTTGATGTCACCTTCTATTGTCATTAAGAGTGAGTCATGGAACGTTAAGATCCGATCATTAGATCAAAAGCTATCCAGGGTGGTCCGTTTTTTACACACTGTATTAAAATTAACTGGAAAATGTATAAAAGCAGTTTTTAGTTTATTTTCACAACTAAGTTTTAAATCTAAATTCAAAAATATTAAGAATTTACTAGAGAATTCTAGACAATCTTTTTCTCCTGAGATTTTTTTCGATTCCAATCTGCGTACCACGTTTGAACATTCTCGAGTATAATCATCATAAGTAGTCATTATATAGGCTCAGAAATTGCCATTGAACACATAAAATTCTAATGTAGATAAATGCACCATTTCAAATTAGCATGAATCCTCATTTTCAGTTTCCTGTCTTATTCATGTCTCATGCGCATGATAAAAATCAGTTGTGGTGTAGTGGTGCAATTTTTTTGATTCTGGACTAACTTCGATTACTACATTTGTTACTGTTTTTAGCGAATTTAAAAAAGAAAAAAAAAAGTCCTTTTGGGGAGAATAATGATGGTTGATCAGTATTTATTCTGAATGAAGGGGTTAAGGTTAACCATCTAATCAGTTGTCAGTCTTAATATTGTGCAAGTTTAATAATTTGTATCTCTACTTGAGAAAATTCTTTCCTCCTAACCTTTTTTTTTTTAAAAAATTCTATTAATATATTGATGTTTACTTGGCTGTGTTTTTTTAAACGTAAAATACATTGTTGTCACCTAATTAGAGTGGAAGAAATATTGCTGACGTTATTTTAGAATTTTAACTGATCCTTTCTGACAAAATTAAACCAATAAAGTTGTGTATTTTTCCCCCTAAGATTGTATTATACATTTATTTATCTTAAGATTTTTGCTTTGTTTTTAAGTGGTTTACGTATACCACTTGCGCTAAGCAATTCCCACTTCGACAAATGCCTTCTTTATCGGCAAATGTCGCGATTTCCCTACAATGACGTCCCTTTCAGGTATCCAATTGCTCTTAACTAAAGCAGTCGACTGCAACACACTGCGAGGCTTTAAATATTTGTGCCTTATAGAAATTCGAACATCTTTCCTATTTCTGTGATACCAACTACGACAAGACTATCTTTTTTTATTGTCGTAATAATTGCCTACTGACGTGTATAGTACGTCGTGGCTGAATTTTTAATGTTACATTGGCTAAAGTTCTAACGCTATTTTTCCCATCGATAAAACATACAGAAAAAACCTTAATAAAATATATAATAAAGAGAACAATCGCGAGGAGTGCCATTTAAACTAATGTAGTATTTGTATTTAAAATTTTAATTCTATTGTATTTAAGATTTCAATACTTTTGTTTTTAGATGGAAAACGAAGATTCTCCAATTCCCCCTGAAATGAAGGACACTAGCACTTGCACATCATGCACGTCTGTTGGAACGATAACTGAGCCAGATTGTTTGGGTCCATGTGAACCTGGTACTAGTGTCATGTTAGAGGGAATTGTGTGGCAAGAAACAGAAGGAGGTACTTACACAACCAATTAATGTACATTTTAATAAGTTTTTAAATTGCATTTACTAAATGGTTTCTTCTTCTTTTAATAGGTGTTCTAGTTGTAAATGTAACTTGGAGAGGAAAGACGTATGTGGGAACTTTGCTAGATGCTACAAAGCATGATTGGGCACCTCCTAGATTCTGTGAATCTCCAACGAGTGATGTCGATTCCAAAACTGCTAAAGGACGTGGGAAACGTGGCAGAGGTGGCAATAACAATACAAATGAAATAAACAACTTCGCTGACGCTAGAAACTGTGTACAAAGTAAATTACGCAATGGGAAAGGCAGAAGAACTACTTTAAATAGTAATGCTAATTCAGGGTTCACTGTTCCAAATAGCCCTGCTAAAAGTGAGAATGGCGCTCCGAGCAGCAAGAGAAAAGGTCGACCTGCTGATCTAGAAATTAGTACTCCTCCTGCAGATACCAAATCTTCCAAAAGGAGTCGGACTCAAAAAAATGCAGCACCTACCTCTTCTGCTCCTGCGGAACTTTCCCAGCCGTCCTCTCCAAATTTAATTGTTTGTCCGCAACCTAATTGCAGTAAAAAGTACAAACATATCAATGGACTAAAATATCATCAAATGCATGCACATAGCGGCTCGGACAGTAGCAAAATGGACGATACTACTACCGAGGACAGTAAAGATGTCACAAATAGCTCCGATAATGATGAAAGCATGCAAGAAAGTGCTTCTACAAGTCCTACTCCAGATTTTGCTGTGCAAGCTGGTGGGAAGAATCTACTTAATGGTGAGACTGCATCGTCTTCCTCATCCAGTGCGAATGGTCTTCCAGAAAGTGACCCCTACAGTTTAAGTACAGATTTATCGACATTAGCTTCTGTAGCTATCAGTGACTCAAAATCTGGACCCAAGGTTGAAATGGTATCCAGACCCTCTCCTCTCAGTGTTTCTCAGGATGTACCTGTAATTAACTCTGATGGAGATAACAGTGTACCTGCACCTGTGCTTCCTGTACCAATTTCCAATCCATCTCCAGATTCCACTTCACTTTCAAACTCACCTGTACTAACTTCAACATCTGTGTCTCTGCCTGGTGGACCTTCTATGTCTCCAGCTGTATCAGCTGTTACTACATCTGTGATTCAATCCTCCAATGCAGTGGACAATTTTCAAGGTATTGGTGTGAACATTCCAACATCACATGTCATTTTCAGTCAGGGTATTTTAGGTTCAAACAGCACAACTACATGCACTCATGCCACCTCAACAGTTGTCTGCAGTAGTTCCAGGTCTCTTTCACCATCAAAAAGCAACTTATCATCCACTGTTACTTCTACTTACACAACAATTCCTTCTATTGTAAGCACAATTCCATCTTCTGTATCTATTCCATTAATTGATAAGACTAAGATAAAACAAGAAAGACCTGATAAATTTAAACCTAAATCACCTGTGGCCAACCCACCGATCAGACCGATTGTACCTGCTCCAACTCAAATGATCGGACTTAATTCAAATCTTCCAAGTTCGCATCCTGGTGTGAACGTTGGTAGCCACAGTCCTCTGAATTCACCTCTTAAACCTATACAGCCAAAGCCAACCATATTGGGTGAACCCACGACAGTTAACCCTGCACTTGAAAGCTTAAAGAAAGAGAAAAGTAAACATAAAAAGAAAAGTAAAGATAAAGACAAAGAGCGTGATAAGAAAATGTCTTCCCTTCCTCTTCTTCCCTCCAAAATTGGTGGAAATCCTGGGGAGGAATGTGAGGCATTGGAACTAACATCATATCCAAGTTTAGAAGCAGTACCTAATCCTCCTACACATATGACCATGTCTCCTTTAATACCGCAAACTAAACTACCTGAAACTTCACTAGATATGAACTTGCCGCCTCCTGAAGATACTATCAATGAAAATGTACAAAGTCCTGCTTATTCTGACATATCTGATGCAAACGACACAGCTCCTGTACTCGAGTCGGAAGTAGCTGCTGGTAAGGAGAAAGAGGACAAAGTGGGTAAAACGACACCAGATGCTGCTCAATCTCCTGCTACTAATATAAGTGCTTATGGGGCAATGTATCCATACTATAGCAATCCACCATATCTGTTGCCATCTGTTTCACCTCAGAACGCTGTTACGGGATCATCTCAGGGACAAAGTATGCTCGAAAAGAACGATATGGTGAAAAAGATAGATCCAGATAGGGTGAAAGATAATCGACCTTGGAGCAACCCTAGTGGAGAATCTAGAGAACGTCAACACTTAGAGCAGCATGATTCTGATAAGAAACTTATTAGAGATGATGGTGTTCAAGGATCCACTTCCTCCCCAGCAGCAGCTGGTGTTCCTGTACAAGAGTATCCAATGCAACAACATTATCCTTACTCGTATGGTTATGTTCAGGGTTATCCATATGCTGTTGAAAATTCTTACCATATGCATATGTTAGATTCAGATCCTCATTATAAGCAACAGTATAAGCAATATATTGATGAACATCATAGACTTTACAAAGAACAGCATCACCAACAGCAACAAATCCAGCAGCAGCAGCAACAACAAATGCAACATCATCAGCAGTCAGTGCAGCACCATCCTCATCAGCATCATTCACAACATCAGTCACATCATTCAAGCAAATCTCATCATTCGAATATTAAAGACGAAAGAGATCGATCCAGAGACAGTAAAGACCGAAATAGCGGAATGGATAAGATCTCTGGAAGTGGGTTGATTGTTGAACATTCTAGTAAAATTCAACATTCCTCTATGTCATTAGTCACAAACAAAGACCAGGATGTTCGAGAGATTGAGACCAGGCCGCCATCTTTACCTGCTCAGGCTCGCATTGATCCCACTAATTCAGCATCTGCCGCTGCTCTGAAGGAAAAACAGAATGAAAACCACCAAATTTTGAAGGAAAATATTGATCTCAAGAATCAAATGGAGGAAAATAGTAAAAATAAATTAAATCATAATCAATATGAAATGGCCATGCTTTATGAAAGACACAGAGAAGATATGCGACGATACTACATGTACCAAGATCGGGTCATTGAGCAGCAACAGCAAAAAATGGAACCTGGTATCCACCATCACACCCATCATCATCAAACCATCCAGTCATCTCACGGCCATCTCCAGGCAACAGCATATGCATCATCATCGTCATTAAAAACTCTCAAAGATGATCTTCCTAGTTCCATACCAAGTCATGCAAAATCAAATCATTATGGTGACAATACTCGACCATCAGTAGTGTCTCCTGCAAAGTCCGATCACGTGAAAAATCCGCATTCGAACTCCACTTCTAGTCCTAAAGGTAGCATGCGAGACAGAGACTCTTCTCACAGCAGCTCTAAAGAATATATGAGCTCATCATCATCGAATAGTAGTTCAAATAAGAAGGAGAGTGGTAAAAGTTCCGAGAGATCGGAGAGCTCAAGTCGGGAAGATAAAAAGGGTGACAAAATTAAGATAGAGCCAAAGGTAGAATCTGAAGGACAGAAACCGACGATGGAGACGACTGGTCCGCCACCACCGCCCACCAATTCGTATGCCTACCTTCATCCATCTTACTTACAACCACCTCCACCTCACTTCCCTCACATGCCTTTTGAACCTGCGCATGCCATGTACCGTGGCGCGATAAATCCCATGATTGTTTCGGCCCCGCATTATGGCAGCTCTCCATATGTGCATCCACAGATTCGATATGTCACTCCAGGAGCTTGTGAAATACCGCCACATCCTCCTGACGCTATTGCAGGCAAGTTGCATCCGGCGGGACCGTCAAAAGCCTTGGACTTGTTGCAGCAGGTTTCGCAGCATTACACCACAACACATAAAATCCATGAACTGCAGGAGCACGCCATGATGTCGCCTACCCCGACTTCTGGTGCTGCTCCTCCGACACCTTCTACTTCCACTTCTGGAAGTGGGAAGGGATCCTCCAGTGAATCAGCTGCTCCTACATCGAAGGTAGATGTTGCTGGCTCCAGGGATACTTCCCGCTCTCCTCCTACGCAGAGGCACCTGCACACACATCATCACACACATGTTGGAGTTGGTTATCCTATTTATGATCCTTATGGTGGTAAGTTTCTATTTAAACTAATATTCTAGTTTTAGAAATAAGCCATTGTTGCTTTCTTGAAACATAAACGTCTCATAATTGTTGCTTTCTAGAAACAATTGGATGTTCAGTAAAATTTGCTTTTATATCTAATTGTTCTGCCACGACTATCTTTTCCCGTGACAACTTTTAGTTTGGAGTGTTTATATAAAATAAAATTTTATTCAAATGAGTGTTCATGAGAATAATCTTTGGTAGTTATAATTTTCAATAGTATTTCATTTTCTCGATGCGCTCGCTGCTTTTCGCAACTGAAGGTCTTTATTTCCTGCATAATTTTTTTTCTTACCTCGTGATTCCTAAGGAACTGATTTGTCCAAAGAGAGTTGTTCCTAAATGTCTTGTAACCAGAAGAAAATGTTAAAAGACAAAAATTTAAGTTTAAGCCCTCGTTATTGTAGGATGCATACAGGAACATTAATTTATTCTATCGAGTAGATGGATGATCTTAATTTGGAATAAGTTCTTTAAGTCTAAATGTGGTTCTATTAATCGGAAGTTCTCGGTAATGACGAATTATTTTGCTAATGTTTGTTTATTTTTCACAAGCAGTTGCATTTAAACGGGGGTCTGTTTAGAAGAAATTTGGGTCCGTTAACGGACCCTTCACAAACTGTCTTTTCATGAAAACGAACCCTTCACAAATTTTTTATATCTTCATTATTGTTTTGTTAATCGAATAAACCCGTCCCAGGGCAGCAAACAAGAAAGATGGATGTAAACGAATTAAGTTTTGTCTTCCTCAGACACTTCTTCCATTATTCGTACGAAATAAATATTCTGCGTTCAGCAGTATAGGCTAAATACCAAATATTTGCATGTTGCATCTCTAATTTAGAAGCAGCAATTACTGTTTATTTTTGAAAATTTAATTTTTTTAATTATAATTTGACAGTGCTGAGCATAATTTCGTATCTATTTACAATTTAAATACTCCTTGAAAAAGTTTTTTGCAATAACCGAACCCTATTTGCACAAATTCATAAAAGCAGGACCCTGGTTGAAAGAATGTGACTTAACGTTTATTTTACATTCACAAATTACGAATAATTTTTCACAATTTTACAGAAAACGGACCTTTTACAAAATGTCTGAACAGACCCCTGATTTAAGTATGGAGAGTTTGGCGCATTGTTGTGGTAATACATGCTTTATCCGAATGTTAAATTTTTACTTCAAACCGAGACTTACTGGTTTCGAGATAAATGCTGGAATCTAAATATTAATGCATCACTACGCAAAGTATCATCTGTGAGAAATATTATCAACATTTTCCTATTATGATTTCTCAGCATTCTGATATTTATAAGTATTTTTTTCAGGTTTTGAAACTTAATGGTTTACCTGAACTCATTGAATTTTAAAATACACCAACTACCATGAAATGTTACTNCGGACCCTGGTTGAAAGAATGTGACTTAACGTTTATTTTATGTTCACAATTTACGAATAATTTTTCGCAATTTTACAGAAAACGGACCTTATACAAAATGTCTGAACAGACCCCTGATTTAAGTATGGAGGGTTTGGCGCATTGTTGTGGTAATCCATGCTTTATCCTAATGTTAAATTTTTACTTCAAACCGAGACTTACTGGTTTCGAGATAAATGCTGGAATCTAAATATTAATGCATCACTACGCAGAGTGTCATCTGTGAGAAATATTATCAACATTTTCCTATTATGATTTCTCAGCATTCTGATATTTATAAGTATTTTTTTCAGGTTTTGAAACTTAATGGTTTACCTGAACTCATTGAATTTTAAAATACACCAACTACCATGAAATGTTACTTCCGTATTTTAGCGTCTTTTTCAAATGTCCACGAAGCCATTGTATTATATTATGCATTTTAAAGAATATCTTAATTTGTTGTCTAATATTTGTCTTCTCTCTTACAGTTTCTGCCCAGAAGACTTACACTTGAAGAGAATTTATATTGAATGTCAAAAATTGTTGGAAAACTTGTAAGCTATCTAAAGCAACCTATGTGAAGCTGTTGGATAAAAGAGCTATTTTCTACATAATTTATGGGTTGGCATATATATGTAGTAGTTGATTCTCTTACGCTTAGTTTAGACGTAAAAAAGGTTAAGAGAGAAATTTATAAAAGTGCAGAATTCTAAAATTGCACTTTAAAAAGATTTTTCCCACCAGACTTCTTAATTATCCGCCGCATGTGATCGAATTTGAGAGACTTGGTTTCAACTTCGAAGCCTGCGTTTATGACTTACATGTTGACTTTATCGTTTTTTGGCCTGTGATACTATATTATAATTATAAAAAGAACATTGTAGAGCTACGACATCTGTCGTCGCTTTTTGTTTATTCGAAGTCATAAAAAGAGAATGCCTAGTCATCGGGGGATGTCCTATGATTGCGTGTTCTGGAATAAATAAAAAAAGTTTAGATACAATTTAAGGCTTTGAAAAGAAATGTTGTGCCAGCATTAGAACCAATTTATGTTTTTTGCTGATTGATAATTGATTTATCTGTTAAAAATGTGTTCAGAAATTAACCACCACAATATGTATATTATGTGTAATAAAGGCAATAAATGATTACAGAATACTAAGCATGTCTCTTTGAAAGATTCACTTTTTTTTCTTAGTTGCTAAGGTACGGATTTATCTAAGAAATTTTTTTATTGTAGGTGTAGTAAATTTCTATTTTTTTAATGAAAGAATAGTGCTAAGGAGTATTTTACTATAGCATTCTATATAGGTGCTATAGTATAGAATTCTATAGTTTTATATGATTCAGTAAAAGAAGGATTTTTTTTTTTTTTTTTGCTTCATAGAAAGCTTAGTTATCCCCGTTTACCTGATACCTGAAAATTCCACTATTCTTTGTACGTTTTTTTTTCTTCTCTCTCTTTTAATGGTGGGAGAATTGAATTTCTAAACAATCGAGACTGTGTTTCCGCTATATTTTTATCACTCTTGAGACAAAATAGAAATCAATTCAACAAATAGTTAAACAGTGCCTTACTAGCCTCAAGAAATTCAATTCACCCCTATTTCAGTCAAAAAAGGGGGTATGTGTACATATGGGGAATTTTCAAGTATCATTTATGATAAAATAAAGCTTTGTCATAACATATAGTACATATAGAATTTTCCTAAAAACACTTCTTTTTGCCTTAATTATATGGGGTAATAAAACATAGAAAAGAATTTGTGTGAAAAAGTTTTTTAATATTATAAATAATATGTCGCACAGCTCTCTCATCCACTTTTAACTCTACATATGTTTTAAAAACGATTATAAGCAAGAGTTAACAAAATTTCTCAGAGCCAGCACGTAATGGAATAAAAGTAGGGTAACAATTTTTTTTACCACCCGGCTTTTAAAAAATTAATAAGTTTTTAGGTATAGTCTGTTTAGTTTTAAAACTAGTAATTAGGTAATACAGTAGTTTTCTTAAAAGCTATATTTGCCTGTAACTGATTATAATTACAAAAATTTAAGTGAACTTACTAAGTATAAATATTTTTAAATAGCAACTTACTCTTCCGAAAATTCAAAAGAAATTATGACCTTCACCCTATCTTCGTTTCTGATTGGATGACAATAACTGCTATTTCCATACTTCTAAAAGATATTTAAGTGGAATAAACAGTACTTAATAAGTTTTATATATAAAAATTTAATAAATATCTTAAAAAGCACATAAAGCATTTTTCCATTCGCATAATGTTCAAAAGAAAAACTAGAAAAATCAAATTTTATTAAAATGATTGCATTAATAAATGAATTTAAATTCTGAAAAATTTATTACAAAAAGGATTATTATAATAACTAGGCTAGACCTGCCATAACTGTTGTGATCGAGAAAAAGAGGATTCAAAAAGGTAGGCTTGGTGACAATCCATGGCAACACCAGAAGGCCTCAAAGAATTTAGTGAAATCTTAAAATTAACAATAGTAGTTACTCAGCAAATAGAATTTAGGAGTTTGAGTGTTCAAACATGATGGGCAAGACATTGAAAAAAGGTAACAAACATATTGTGATGATGAAAAGTACCAGAATTTCCCCATAGCCCATGAAAACGAATACAATTTCAAAAAGAAGAGTTACGGCGAGGCAGCCGTAAAGAAAAATTCACAAACAAGAGGAAACTCAAAACATGAATAGTTAGAAAATTTGACAAAATTTTGAACAATAAATTATTCGAAAATCATTTCGAACGAACACAAATACAGTATTTGCGAAGGTTACAAGATTTATATGTGTATATAGCATAAAAAGCTTTAACAAAACTTTTCATGTTATTTCCTTGCCTAAATTCTCTTTTTTAATTCATCATTCAAAACGGAACCCGTTCTCATAGTTAGCAACTCACATCCGGTAATCCACATTATAAGTTTTTTCCGTTAAAGAAATATTAAATCCTGTGAGAAACTTCTCGCTCTAGCCTATTATAATTATTATATGATCCCTTGTAAGACACGTGACTAGAAAGATTTTCCCTTTTTAAGATCCCGAACGTTTAAAGCGATAAACATCAGTTACACTTAGATTCTTGCTTTTTTCCAATGAGTATTTAGGACTTTTCTACCCTTTCCTCGCATGCTTTCATTATTTCCCTGCTCGCCCGACTACCATGATATGTATATATATAATCTTCAATTAAATTAGAACTGGAGCTTATTTTTTTAATCTAATTACTATTAAACTAGAGTTCAACTAATTAATTCAGTCTTTCAAGCCGAACAGTTGGCAATCTTAGAATGCATTAAATATATTAAGAGCACTAAAAACTTCAATAATAACGATATTTATGTCATCTGGTCAGACTCAAAATCATCAATACTTGATTTTGGCACAAATAATAGAATTTCTTTTGATATTCAACAAGAACTTCAACACTCATCAATTCAAATTTCTTGGATTAAAGCACACTGCAATAGAGTAGGTAATGAAAAAGCAGATGATTTAGCTAAACAATCTACGAGACAACCGAAAAATTATGTATACCCACTTCCAGTTTCATATCTTAAACGACGTATTAAAGATTCTCTTCTAACAAAATGGCGATTTCAATGGAATAATTCAGACAGAGGCAGACGTCTATTCAAAATTATTAACAATGTTCCTTTTTTCAAAACAAGTCATCTGGTTCTTGACGGGTCATGGACCATTTCCAACCTTCTTTAATTACCTGCATATAACAGATACTGATCTTTGCACCTGCGGCCAACAAGGTTCGCCTGAACATTATCTCACTAGTTGTTCCTACACTGTATCATAAAATTGTTTAAAATATCTTCTGCAATTGAAACAAAAACTATGAATAATTTTTATATAATATATTTCCGTAAAATTTATGACGACAATGTGAGTAAAACGTATTTCTATCATCGCCAACTTATTAATTTTTTTTAAGTTTTTGGTGGCAATAATTGAGACGAATGTAAAAATAAATATGAGCTCATAATTCCTTCATTAAAAGATGAGGATCATTTCATAGCAACTTTGAAGTTTCAACAAACACTTATCCATTTTTGTCACACCGATTCTGAATTTTCAAGTGTTAAGATTTCATAAAATCAGCAGGGTTCATATGTGCTTCCTGAAGCATTAATAATTTTTATTAATTTTTTTTTTTTTTTTCATCTGACGAATGATTGAATCTGTCCAAAGTACGCTTGTTGTAAGATATGCGTTACAGTTCTTGTATTTATTAGCAAATCCGGACCCGTCATAACTTCATAAGAACTTAGAATTTTCCTTTTCAAAGATTAGATATAACGATAGTCAATATTCGATTTCTTTTTGTCTAGCCCCCAATGAGATAAGCGTGAGTTGGCAAAGGAATGGATCGCCTATTTACTCTTAAGTGAAAAAAAATCCAGCGTGCATAGCGTTTTAAAAAAGTGCTTATTTTTGCTTTTCGTTTTTCAAAAGCCCTTAAAGGAGCGTTTTTCATTGGGTGTTTTTAATAAGTGCTTAATTTTCCCTTTTTGAAAATGAGATTTTTCCTTTACCATGTTGATTTTCGCTACGAATTATGCAAAAAGACACAGTTTACATTGTTCTATTCAACGTTTTCTCTATTAATTCAACCCGAATCTATTTCGGCGTATTGTCAGTCCGTAACGTATGAAAACGCCATTCGTTTTACATGATTCAAAATTTCATGATTTTTGACATTTGTCAAAAACAATGGCAAAAGGTTTTTTTTTTTTTGACATGACGTTATATGATATTTTTTTAGAGTGCTTAAAGGGTGCTTATTTTTTGTTGAATGATTTGGCTTCGCACCCTGTAATTAGTATATTACGTTTACATATTTACTAAAAATTAATGGTATATTTTAACTATTTGATCTTTATTTCTTTTTTTTTAAATCCAAATTTAATTTGTGTTAACAATTTAGATAACTGATGTAACTTGCGGAGGTTTAAATATTACCTGAATGAATGTTTGAAAAATTTTATGCCGACACGCCTTTGATTTGATTGGGTTGCTTTTTCTGTCTGAAATTATGGTGCGTCAGGGCGTCGACATTAACCACTCCTTATTCAAAACATAGCTGTTTGATTAGGTATTCAAAAAGAACTTTTCACTTATCTAGTAAATAAGTAGTTCATTATGCAAGCGTTGACATAACTGAGACACAATATTCTTGATGTCAAGGAAGGAAGAGTAACCCCTTAACGCACAGAATTTTTGATAAAAACTGGCCAAAAAGAATTTATTTTTTTTATGTAAAAAACAGACTTTAGAACAAGGTTTCCTTATTTTTGCACCAAGCTTCCAGCAGATCATATTCAATCGAACCGAAGTCTTCATAAAATCATTGTTTTCTTCTTTTTAATTTCCTGTGGCTGTCACCATAATTGTGACTTTGTATTTACATCCTTATTTTTGCACCAAGCTTCCAGCAGATCATATTCAATCGAACCGAAGTCTTCATAAAATCATTGTTTTCTTCTTTTTAATTTCCTGTGGCTGTCACCATAATTGTGACTTTGTATTTACATCCTTATTTTTGCACCAAGCTTCCAGCAGATCATATTCAATCGAACCGAAGTCTTCATAAAATCANTATTTCTTTTTTTTTTTTAATCCAAATTTAATTTGTGTTAGCAGTTTAGATAACTGAATGTAACTTGCGGAGGTTTAAATATTACCTGAATAAATGTTAGAAAAATTTTATGCCGACACGCCTTTTTGTTTTGATTGGGTTGCTTTTTCTGTATAAAGCTACAGGGCGTCGACATTAACCACTCCTTATTCAAAATACTTGTTTGATTAGATATTCAAAAAGAACTTTTTACTTATCTAGTAAATAAGTAGTTCATTAACACGATATTCTTGATGTCAAGGAAGGAAGATTAACCCCTTAACACACAGATTTTTTGAAAAAAACTGGCCAAAAAGAATTTTTTTTTTTAATGTAAAAAACACACGTTAGAACAAAGTTTCCGTTTGTTAGCCGCTTCTGGTTCAACTTTTCTATTGGTGGACAATTTTGATGTACTGCGCTTTTGTTCCATGGAAAAAGGCTATATTTTATTCTTGAATAAATAAGTGTTACGGCTTACAATCCTATGTAAATGATAAAT